GGGTCTAGTCACTTATAGCTATAACAAGAGTTCATAACCTCCGATGATGGGGGGTTATGAACTCTTGCTTATACATGTACCAAGAGTCCATTATGCACTCTTGCTTATATTACTGATAGTCACTGATCGTGGTCCACAACCAATTTGCACACAAAGTGCGAGAGAAGAGTGATAGCCAGCCACGGCAAGAAAAGAATAAAGGAATAAAGAAAGAACGATAGACAAGAAGCCAGCAAGGAGATCCTATTGTACTGCATTACTATGATGCGATCGAAGAGCATTTTTAAAGCTGGAAAGACAATAATAATAATAATAATCAGTTTCAGGATTACCCAAACATGCTGAGGATCTAGGAAGTTAGTTGCAGCCAAAAGATGTAGGACAAAAACCGAGGAGAGTTGGTAAATGCGGCTGAATTAGCACGAGGAAGTGAGAGACTATTACGAGTGGACCGGGACAGAGAAAATCAATTGAATATGGAGAGATGAATGGGAATTTTACCTAGGCGAATTCTGTGGATCAAAATGCAAAGCTGCTGTTTGCGATTATCTTGCAGTGGCCGAGTATTGCTGATATTGCCGATGTGGTTAGGTGATAGGAAGAGTGCCATTATGGGATTATCCACTCTTGGTGATAGCAAGGCATATGATTGTGGTGTGGCATCACTGTGGCAGTGTGGGCAAGAGTACGGGTTATGTACTCTTGCTGTGGGTGAGTACTGGAGTACCGGTAGGCTATGGCAGTAGTGGTACATGGCAACGCGGATGTGCGAATCTTCTTTACACTAAATGCCCCATATACCGGTATGCCGCGTGAGTGAAACCTGTCTAATCCGACCGCTCAAGGGACCTTACAAGTGTGGTCCCAGTGTACAGGTACTAGGTAGTGTCCGTATCCAGTGCAGTGCCAGTTGCACATCCTTTGTATTGGTCCTGGTTGTAGGGGTTCTCTTCTGGTGGCCAACTTACTTACTTATCAGCCTCGAAGTGGTCGCTTTGACAGCTTTTAGGTTTACTGTACAGTAGTATGTTTGGTTCATTATTGATCTACGAGCACTTTACAACACGGCTTGAATCAGGGAGTAATAGTACTTCCTGGCTTGAATGCTGCTAACATGGTAGCAATCAGTTCCACTTCGTTTCTACCACTTATAAATCAGCAATTCTTGTTCATGGAGATCCTTCCTAAGGCCGTAAGGGTCTTAGCAAGAGTACATAAAGTTTATGTACCGGTACTCTTGGTCTTAGCCATTGGCATTCATTGAAGAATCGGAGATAGACAATCATCTTCAACAACAGTCACTGTTCCCATTTTGAGGCTACAAAATTAATGCGTCTGGAAGTAGTTTATAAGTCAGAACTGGTGACAGACAAAGAGAAACTCGTACAGCACATGTATCCGTCCCCGGGGGATTATGGACTCTTGGAGTCTTGGTCACTCGTGCCAAGAGTGCACGTACCGTCGTACTTAACTCTGACTCTGAGCCTACTGATCCTACTCATATTACTAGGAGGAGGGAGATATTAGTGGTTGCATGAGATACTCAGACTACAACCTGACTACCCGATCTTGTCACATGGATGATGCTAAAAGATAGCATGTGTTACCAAAGTCGGTGTAACAGTAACCGAGGTAAATTCCCCGCAATAGCCAGCGATCCACTGAGTCTGTGTTGGAATATCGTCATAATTCTAATGCTAGCCAAGTTGCTACTGAATAATCATGGTATATCGCTGCGCCGTTATTTCGCACGCGTAGCTTTTTAGAATACATGTACTTTGAAGTAGAGTCTACATGGAAGGCGTATTCGGGAGTCTTCTATTCGAGTTTGTGTCGTGGCCTCGCCTTGTTGTTGCTTTGAGTTTGATGACGGCGACTGGAATAGTCACGCCGAGTACCCAGTCGTGCAAATGGGGTCTCCTTTATTTTTGTTGTAGCGAGACACACGCACACGATGGCGGTACGTATTGTGGTGGACGGACACGATCAAATACATGACCACTACATAATGTACAGTAACCACGAGCATTGCGTAGATCTACGCCTTGCACAGTAGGCTAGTCAGTGGTTTTGACACCGACCGTGGACGTGGATCAAATCTACATGGCATTGTACATAATGTCATTGTACATGTGCGCCGTTTCCATGCAAGACGCCAGTTACAGCGAAAGGAACGTCTGCTCGGATACTGAAGATGTCAACGCGGGAATCGCGGGCTTTCATGATTTCAACGAATCCACCAGGCCACTCAGTTTCACTCAGTTTTTAGTTTCGCTGTGGCAGACGAATGAGTCAGGCGTCAACATCCTTCGGACGGATGTATACGGTGTAGCTGAGGAGAGAGCAGATCGCAGAGACGAGAAGGTTACGTCTGTACAATGCCATTGTCCTCCCGAGTCTCATACAACTGTGAGGCATGGGGATTGACGGCAGGAAACCTCTTCAAGGTTGACGTACTCCACAGAAAGCAACTTCGATGCATCCTGGGTATCAAGCTGCAAGACAATGTCAGCAATGAACGCCTGTACGAACGTTGTGAAACCTGCCCAATATCCACCCTGATTAAACAGCGAAGGAGGAGAATGACAGGACACATCCTGAGAATGTCCCCCAACACGCCCGCCCTCAAAGCCATGAACATCTACTTGACCCAAGACTCCCGGGGCCGGTCAGGGCGCCCAAGAAAGACGTTGCCTACTTGGCAACCTGCGTTGCGGAGGACATGAGAGAGGCTGGAATGACTTTCACCACAGTGCGGGATCTCGACCTGGCGGGCAAGGGACAAACCGGCATGGAGAGCGATGGTCTACAACTAATGATACTGAACTAGAACAACGGAAAGATTCATCAAGAGACAGCAGCGGACCGAACATTAGTGTTGCACAATATTAATGTTCCATTACGCGCAACTGTGTTATTATTATTATTATTACTTCGAAGTACTCAGTTTCGCAATGACTATGAAGGAGGGGGGGGGGGACTGAATGATGACCTGGTCACCATTCCTTACACATGATGATCATTGACATAACTTCGTGGTAGGTCGAGATCTTAGTATCATCTTACTGTCTGGTCACGTGACTGTTACACCATGTACACAGTCCTCATTAGAACCGCATTCTCATGAGTCACAACTCCAGACACTTCGATCAGAGACTGTATATTTCTTCTGACTTGAAAACAATCCCTGAATGCTGGGAAAAGCAACCTACTTGTCGCTACTAAAACCAAAACAAGAACTCAGCGAAGGCACCAACACATACATCATGCACTGAACACATACATCATGCACTGAACTGCCGGGCATGCACCTTGCAGTACTAATGAATCACCAAGAACACAAACACATGATACAACCAAACAGTGACCATAGGCTTTTAGCGCTAGTCATTCTTGAACAGGATGTGTGTTTCAAGGTTCAAGATCACACCGTATCACGGCCAAACTGTGTATTTCTGCCTGTGAGAAAAGAGTGGTCATTGGTGGATGATGAAGGTGTTAGATCGTCACCTACTTATTTACAATAATGCAGTTGTTTGCTGACTGGATCGGACAGTATCATAATCTGACTCTGAGTGCTGAACATATTATTTGCACCTAGAGTACGAGATAGGACTCAAGGAGTTTGCAGACAATAATAATTTTTAGAGTACTACTACATGATGTAGTAGTAGATCTCCTTGACGTAGTGTAGATCTACATGCATGAACTCTTGTCTGCACTGCATACACCTGTACTGATCACACGCTAGGTCCTCGTTGAGGTGGGGGTATGTAGTGGCGGTGGAGGTGTGAAAAGGTGTGTTTGTCAACAGCCGAATGTACCGAATTACCATAATGATTGTATCTCTTCAACCGCTTCAAGTTTTCCTCGGGATGTGTAGACTCCACTGTAGCCGCTTCAAGTTTTATGTTACCAATATAAGGACACCTCGTCACCACTCTTCAACCTAAAGCAAAAAGTCATAGTCATTCCTTACATGTATGGCTGTCACGGTTATCAGGCGGCTTGGTACCAGCACTGAGGTACAGGAAACGTTCACACTCGCCTGACTGTAGCCTGTACTGTAGTGTAGTGCTGGATGTCAAGATCTGACGGAACACTTCCATGATGTGTTGTCACCTGCACTGCTGCAGCTTGACAGGTAACATCTGGACGATCAGGTCACAGTGTGCCATTGAAAAGGCATTGTATCCAGTGACGTCTGATCGGTGTGGAGGCTTGTATTCGAGATGATCTGGAATGGCCCGGTACCATTGCGGTAATCATGCTACACGACATTGTGTAATGGGACCTTCTCGCTTCAACACCACGTGGCCGCACAGGTACGCAGTGCTGAGTGAAGCAGCCATCATGGAGTGCGGCAGTCGAAGCATTATGTCGCCGAGATCAAGTGAATAAACTTGAAGAGTTGGCGTTCACGCTGCCAAAAGAGCACACCAAATATCCTTCGTTTCCATCTGCGTGGAATTTACAACCCACGAACAACATAATAATCAAGCTTGAATTGTACCCGCACGTGGGGCGGTGCGAGCTTTCACATCTACATAATCATTACGACATTGTAGGACGTTCGATGGTCATCACTGGTGGAATCTACATGGCGATAGGAACATCGTTGCGAGCACCGTCGTCAAGTTCTTGCTTTACTCGATCCACTCCACACACTGTGACACAGTGATGACCTGGTGACGCCGTGTGCGCGCCAAGTGCAAGAATCACTTCAGATGCCGCAGTATCAGTTTCACAGCTCTGAGCTGCTGGTCGGCGAGATAAACATTCGAGTAAGCGATGAAGTAGCACTGGCAGCGGAGGAATTGTGTTTTGCGTTTGGCCAGGCACGTGTGCGCCATTGGCTTTTCTGTGCGGTGTACAGTGCGATAGTTTATAGGGGTGACGGCAGGGAGCGGAGTCGTCAGCATGGTAGGGTCGTTTCTGCGGGCGAAGCTTGAATTGTTCCGCATGATGTCCGCATGATTGCTTTGGCCTTGCGCTGATGTTCTGCAAATATAGCGACCATCGGGTCCTCGGCTGCTGCTACGCGATATTCGCCAGGATTGGCACGAAGGCGTATGCACCACCCGCTTACCGTGACACATGCCATGGCCCAGTCCGTCCGTCAGTGGAATTCGAGCTTGGAAGAAAGGAGGTGGATGCCAAGATGGGAAAGGCCCGAAGGTCAAAGCTTCCACCGCACGGCCCGTAGACTCTTCGTTGCGAACACGCGTAGATCTACACTCGCTGTTCCGTTCACCTGCAGCATGCACCCCGTGGCCTTGGTGCCTGGTGGTATCGGGGCGAGTAACCAGCGTCACCCCGAATGTTGCCAACCTCAGCTCAGGGGAGCTCAGTGAAGCTCGAGATGCTGCGAGTCGATCTACCCGTGAAACTAACACGCCAGACTTGGGTAACGTGTTGGCTGACAATGGAGAAATCCTACACGCGCCACGGGCTTAGCGGGCAGCGGCACCACGGCAGTACACGGCCTCAGAGTTCCTTCTTGCAAGATCTGCGAGAAACGGCGAAAGCGGGCGGCCTACCTCACGTTTAAAACTGAGTTTGCTGGTAGTGGTCGGCAGAAGAATCGGATCAGACCCAGAGCCAGGATCTCAGGAGGTGCGCTGAGAACGCGGAGCCATGCAGCAGTCAGCACTTGTGCCGAACCGGTAACGAGATACTGAAGACCTCATGTCCTTTACGAGTGCCACCTAGTGCCGTCGTCGGTCAGAAGTCCGTAACGAGCGGTTGATGGGTTGGAAGTGGGGTCACGAAACTGAGTTTGCACCTTTTTGACGCCCTCCTGTTGGTGTTGGGTTCCACGCGGTTCGATCAGAATTATCTAGTTCTACCGACTGTTATCGTCACGTCGAGTATGGCAACAACACAACACAGACAGTTCACCTGTCAATACTCGTCGATCTCAGCAGCTTGCTGCAGTTCCGCAGCTAACGCGCCAGTTTCGAAGTGGCGATGGTCTTTCGTCTTTCTAACCGCTGTTCTTCTGTCCGTCACTGTGACGCCAGCAAAGTGTTCTGCGCACGAGCAACGACAACGTCGCGCCGCCTCAACCTCAAGCAGCACGAGGGAAAGGCAGACCAAGAGCGACAGCAACTTCAAGGTAAGGGCTTGTGTCAGGCTCGGTGTACAAAGTATGTAGCGAAGTATGATCTGATCGAATAGAAGAATAGAAGGTGGCTGTGGGGATGTAGGACAGTGATACACGAACAGTGGTGTAAAAGTATTGACTGAAAGCATAGGCTATCCGTCACAGCTTCTCCATACATACCACTGGTACACGGTGTTGGTTGACAGCAACGAAACAAGGTTTAGATAATACCAATACCGGTATTGTACAGGTACAGGGTTACACTAGCACTTTTGTCCAAGGAGACTGAGAGATAGAGAGACAGAGTGGCAATGAGATTCTAGTACATGTACCACACTGATAAGCATCATGATTCAGGGGGCAAGGTTCAGCTTTACTCAGTGTAGCTATCCCCTATCCCTCAGCTTTACTCAGTGTAGCTATCCCCTATCCCTCAGCTTTACTCAGTGTAGCTATCCCCTCAGCTCCACACTGTGTAGCTATCCCCTATCCCTCCTCTTAGTCTTACATTTTACAACGGATGTGCTGTACTTAGTACTACTTACGTGTTCAGCAAAGCCTGTGGATGCAAATTGTTCACAGGTTACTGTGTGTACCATTACCAACAGACATCATATCCACCAGTGAGACTTGGAGCCAGCCTTATTAGTATGCTAGGCTATGTCCAAACACCCAGTACACATCACAGAAGTACCTTTCATACAGAACGTCATATCACAAAAATGTACTACAATGGTGTGCACTATACCGGCGGAGCATGTACCACTGCATACCACAACTGTGTAGTACACTTACTGCTACACCCCATACTGGTACAGTCCCTGAGGAACACTGCTCGGTTCAGGGCAGTGTGTGCTCTGCATTGCGCTATGAGGTCATCATCATCATACTCCATGGGATCCAGTAGCAGTAGGCACACGGTGTGGTGGGTTTGTGGAAGGAAGTGAAATGGCCTGGTTGCCCTGGGAGCCACCGGGCTCTCTCTCTCTGTCTCTCTCTTACTCTCTCTCTCTCTCACTCTCTCTCTCTCTCTCTCACTCTCTCTCTCTCTCTCTCTCTCTCTCTCTCTCTCTCTCTCTCTCTCTCTCTCAAGGTGTTAAAGGGGAAGTTAAGCCTAAAATCAAATTTTCACCAGTTGTAGTCTTCGGGGTGCTGAGTCGAATGGCCGTGGTCCGAGGAAGCTGAGACGCTCCCTTCCTACTTTAATCCCAATCGAACTCGCGCACTTCCACCGAAACTGGGTGACTGCGCCCTACTAGATGGGGATTTGTATGCAAAATGTCACTAAAAGCGCCATTTCGTTCTTATAAAAGCACGGGTGACCGCGATTGGCCAATATGTTGTAGTCTTTTGGACGCTCAGTCGACTGGTTTTGGTCCGAGAAAGCTGCGATGCAGCGTTCCTCCTCTATTCCAAATCGAACATGGTTGAACAAGCGGTCACGTGCTCCTGCGTGCCCAAGTCACCTGGTCACCGCGCCAGCAGGCGACAACTTTCACACCAAGGTTCAACTCGAGTGACAGGACTGCACCCAAAAAAGGTCAAACAGGCTGTAAGTTGTACCCTGCAGGCACGGTGACCAGGTGACTGGTGTACGCAGGAGCACGTGACCGCTTGTTCAAGCATGTTCGATTGGGAATAAGGGCCGAACGCTGCATCGCAGCCTTTTCGGACCAAAAGCAGTCGACTCAGCGTCCAAAAGACTACAACATATGGGCCAATTGCGGTCATCCGTACTTTTATAAGAACGTAATGACATATTGCATACAAATCCCCATCTAGTAGGGCGCAGTCACCCATTTTCGGTGGAAGTGCGCGAGTTCGATTGGGATTAAAGTAGGAAGGGAGCGTCTCAGCTTCCTCGGACCAAGACCATTCGACTCAGCACCCCGAAGACTACAACTGATGACATTTTGATTTTTGCCTTAACTTAACTTCCCCTTTAAGTGTAGATATTGCATGACCCAGTGGCTGTTGAACCAAGTTGTGGGCAGGTGTGAACTGCTACACGAAATTGATAGGGGCAGGTCCTGTCACTGAGGCGAAGCTTTGCCAACGGCAGCAATGCAGCCCTTGAAGTTAGCAATTGCAGCCAGTAGCATTGCATGTGTAATACTTTTTAAGTAAATGATTAGAAATTCATTACCCTCTGTCGGAGCTATATTGCTGCCTTTTGGACCGACGCTGAGCTATTCCAGGAAGAGCCAGAAAGGTCTGAATAGGAGACCGTGCATGATGCAATCACAGTTGTAGCAGCATCTCCTTAGCCCTGGAGGCTACAGTAATACCGTCAGAACTGTTGACCTGCAAATGCAATTAGAAACTCGAAAAGGAATTGCCTGTCCTCCCAGTGCTGGATATGAATGTACTTCTGGTGCCCTTCTGAAGCCGAGTCTAGTTTATACGTTCAGCTGTGTCTGTTGAGGCTAAAACTTGAAGTTGCAAGTCACGTACATGTATGTCCTAGCTGTTGCTTTGTTCCCTTTGGCGGCCGGGCAGCTGTGGGCTGCTCTGCAACTGTGGTGCTCAAATCGTGTTATGTGTACAACTCGTGAGCTCAGCATGCGACTATGTGATGATCAGTGCATATCTCTAGTGACTGGTGCTTGTCAGTTGTCACAGTAGTTCATTCTACATGATCTACATGATTGGGTCTCAGCCTGACAACACTAACTGTGCTGCACTGCCCATTTGTGATGTTACCCACCTCTAGCATTTCGCCGCCAAGATCGTTCGCAAGCCATACAACTTCACCGAGGACGTTGTCGTGAAGGTAGGGAGCCATGTTCACAGGGCACGCAAACCAGAAGAGTCCTGTCGTGAAATAAGTTATTTGTTGAATGCCGGAAATGGCAGCTGGTGAACAAAACGGGTGCAAGTGTCATAATGGCATGCATCTGGTGTTGTGTGTTGGGGTAGAGCCCACCTTGCAAATCATGTAGTTGGGCCTTTTTGTCTAGCGAAGAATCCAAAACAAGAAGCATTCGATGCGTGGAGGAGGGCCTCCAGAATATACTGCACCATGCTTAGCCATCACAGTACCGCCTTCAAGTTCTATTTCTAACCTACCAGACATGATTTTAAAAGGCTGTGTCATGTTCTAGGTTTTGTCGGGTCCTATCCCATCTCCGCTCCTTCGGCAGCTGGTTTGACTAATCAGATAGGCCTACGGGCAGCCAGCACACAATCATGGTAGTGCAGGTCACATTATGCACTCCTCAGTTCCTTCCAGTTTGTGGCCAGCAAAAATGCCAGCATTCACTCAAGTCACTCAGTCGAAAACACCATCCGACGAGCAGGCGCTCAGCTACACCAGCAAATGATGATAGAAAAAAATTGAAAAAAGTTGCCAATATTTTGCCCATTGTCTTGAGCATCAACCACAACAATTGCTGAAACTTTAAAAAAAGAATGTCATTGATGGTCAATGCTCCCAAAGTTCACCTAGTGCCAGCAATGCCAATATAGCTCGTGTGGTGTGTGTGTGCGCGCATGCGCGCGCGTGTGTTGAGGTTCCTATTTATATATTGAAACCTGAAGTAGGCCTGCTAAACTGACTTACTTGTCTGTTCACCCGTGTCTGTCTGTCTGTGCAGGGGATATCTGTGCATGACGACATCTACAACGAAGTAGTGTTTCTACGGCACATTCTGAACTTTGTCGTACTGCCGGGAGATGGCAGCGACACGCGGCCAGCAAGGACATGCCGTGATCTGATGATCGCACACCCGGGATTCCTGGATGGTAATGAGCTCCCCCTTTGTTCTGTATTTGTTGTATTTGTATTTATGGATTCTCCACAGGCCTTACTGCGGCCTAAATCGAGAGAGTCTCCATGTTGCTGTGGCGCAGCCAGTGGAATCCGTCCCCTGTGAATAACAGCAGCATTGGGCTCAAGCATGTACATGCATATCCCTTCTGCCACTGTGCCCGGGTCATCATCGCGGCCCGACGCAGGCACTAATTTCAGAGACAGTGATGACTTTACGGTAGTTCCAAGTACAACAGTTCAACTAGATGATCTACAGAACTGTTTATGCAAGCCCCTACTTGCCATTCACTGGCACGAGCTGGAGCTGTATAAATGTCCTGGGATGATGGTCAGGCTCTGCTTTGTCATCATGCTGACCTGGGACTTACTTGTCTTTGCATAAAACACAGAGCACGATGGGCATATGGCATAAAATTACAAGCAACAGATAATTATTACACAGACCTGTTGCATCAGCGACAGTAGAAATTGGCTACAGAATGCATGCATGAGCAAGCGTAGCGGTTTTGGGAATAATGTCAGTCACAGGGCGAAATCTCGGTTTGCAAGAAAGAAAATTCAGGCCAGAATGGCTTATACCAAGAGTACATAACCCCCAAGAGTGTGCAACGCCGATCCAGCTCTGCATAGGGTCTTGGTCGAGCGGAATCGGATCTTCTGATGTCATGCGTACACTCCACACCAGCGCAAGGACGGTCTCGAGGCAGGGCACCATTGTTTTTGATCCAAGAGTACCCGCGACTCACCGGGTTCCCCTCAGATGTGTACGGTATTATGACGCAAAGATCCGATTCCGCTCGACCAAGACCCTATGCAGAGCTGGATCAGGCGTTGCACACTCTGGGGGGTTATGTACTCTTGCTTATACTGGACAAATGTCCGCTAGCACAAAATTCGGGTAAGCAGGAAGTTATTCTCTGGTCGCCAAACCGTGATTTGTGTTAAGTGGATTCCACTGTGTATGTACTGCTGATTACTTCTGTTACGTTCTATTACGTACTGCTGTAAGACCAGATATTTAACGTCAATTAAAGCTAACGATCTCTGGATTTTTGTTGGCAAACGAGGTGAAATGTTAACGAATTCCGTCTGTCGAAACTGGTGAATGACTGTACACACGTACATTGTTTTGCACATAACGGCTTCAAATTTTTTTAATAGTCGTTAGAGTTAAGTGTTCATTAAAATTAGTTGTCTTACACTGCTGTGACTCAAGAATTACACGACAGGTATGTGAGCGAGGAGATTGGAGAGATAACTTGCCCGGGGTGAGTTTCACATCAACTTCGCTGTTTCTTCCTGCAGGGTTTTACTACGTTGATCCAAACGGAGGCTCAACGGCCGACAAGATACAGGTTTACTGCAACTTCACAGGTGGAGGTTGGACAGTTCTGGAGCCATCCGTGCGCCGCTCGCGCATGGCAGCATTGTCTCAGCGAGGTGTCAAGGGCTATGACAATTACACCTGGTACTCCACCATGGATAGGCATTTCAAAGTAAGTGCTTCTTGACGAGCCCAGTCGCTACCACTATTTCGAATTAAAATTTTAAATGAAAATGCTGAGCAGAAGGCTAGCTACATGGAATTCTTCAACTACGGTGTTGTTGTTCTTTGTGCTAGGTTGACTACCCATCGGAGAGCCAGTTGAGACTACTCCGGGCACAGAGCACACTGAGCCGGCAGCTGCTGACGTTCCGCTGCGCACGGCGGTCCGTGTTCCCGCGCACCCAGGTGTCGTCGGGCCAGGCACCCGAAGCGGTGCACCTGCGTGGCAATGACCACTCCATCATTAGCACCTCGGGCGATCGGCACGTGGAAGTGGATGCTCGCCGGAATGACTGCGATGTAGGTGATGTTTTATCTACAATCAGCCTTGCTGCATTTGGCAATCATTTCCCTGATCAGAACATTTTGCTCATAGCAAGGCTGCACTTGAACAGTGTCCTTTTTTGACATTCATGTTTAGTTTCCGGCAATTTCAACTGAGATAGTGTCAACAGAATACAGCACGTATCGCCTATAAGGTTGGCGGCTATAGTGATCAACTTCTCAAATTCATTTTCATTTGCCATAACTAAGTATACACAGTTACCGCGTATAGTAATAATCGTCTATAGTAATATGTCGCCTATAGTGATCAAATTCAATTTTCAAATTTGCCCTGTGTTATTTCGTCAGTTCTACTTGTAGTATTAGTTGTCCAAAATGCCTCCATTGTGAGGATATGCTGACATTGTGTGTCAGGAGCCTTGGTTGCACAGGCATGATAGGGTGCATTTATCACAGTAGGAGTACACAGGACGTACGCTGCAACCAACTATGCAGTGTGTATGTGTACGGCACGCTGAGTCTTTTGATACCCCACTCGCATACAGTACATGCAGTATCGGTCATAGTAATAATTATATCGCTTATAATGATAAAGTGCTCAAAATCAAAGACCAACGCTATAGGCGATACTGACTGTAACACTATTCGAATACCTGTATGTCCTAGAGTAGAAAATAATCGTCGTTGCAAATCCGTCCGCTAAACTGTGTTACCATTTCTTGTATTCCTTTCCCTGTGTTCAGGAACGAGTTGCTAAGGGTCGCACCGTACTGCAGCTGTCGGCCTATGGCGCCGCCATGGCACGCTTGCCTGTCCACGACTTTGCGCTGCACGACTTCAAGCCCTACATACACATGGCCGTCATCAACAAGGCAACCCTGATGTTCCTCTAATCCCCCGGCCCGGTCTGGCTTGACTGGGCCAGGAGCAACCGTGGACTGCAGCATAGTGTTGTGCTGCCGCCGTGAATCAATACCCCCCCCCCCCCCCCGCCCCGTGGCTGGACCGACTTGGATCACACGCACGGGTGAACATTGGCTTTCTAGGCACCAATATCAGCAAGGGTGGAATCCTACACTGAACTGTACAAATGGTCTTGAAGATTATGCTTTCGATGTGCACATACTTGTAGGAGACTATTTTGATAATTTTATAATACATGACAATGTAGTAATGTAGAGGGCACTGCTGGAAAAAGTACTTGGCATCAAAATGGCCTACTTTTGGTATTATACCATACACGTTTTCACTCCCTCCCCACTCCGTTATCAACCGAGCCATCTGCCTCACATTTATTTAATACCCACCCGAATGTTGAGACAAGCCAATCAGCTGTATTGTCAAGATTAGGAAATATACTAGCTCCATACTCTATGAACAAGATGTCGCGACATCGACGGTAATTTGTGAAGAAGGTGGCTGTTCCAAACATTGGAGCCATCTTCTCCATAACATTTTTTATTTTTACAATCGGGCCACTGGCAGTGTATACATGGAATTGCAACGAATAGCTGACGTGTCTTATGGACATCTGCAAGCTGTGTCCAACTGGTACTGAAAGCAGTATGTGTGGATGGGTGACGCCATCCGACCGTGTGCTGCCCGTGGGACTGGATTTGACTTCCGGGCAGTCGTGTAACACTAACAGTTGGACTGCTTATCTGCGGGACATGTTGAACTGGAGCTCTACCGTGACATGCATGACGTCCTCATGAATTAAGTTGTGCCCACCGTTGGCAGCCAATGCTAGTAGTATCTAGCCTCAGGGTACATTATTGCACCTAGTCCGTGCAAACTGGTATTCCAAGTTGCCAGCTACCGGGATCCTTGGCCTCGGTCTTGAAGGGATTTCACTCAAAAAGCTAGTACAGTATGATGGCGGCTTCTGAGCAGCCAAACTCCTGTACGTGTCCGTGTTGCTACGGAAATAAGAACGGTTTGTACTTGGCATGAAAAAACATCTCCCATGTCCATTGTGGAAACATAATTATACTGAAGCATGAACTGAGTTACTGTAGAACATAGCCAATGAACCATGGAACCAATGAGCCATGGTGCATGATACAAAACACTTTGACATATTCCACGAAAACTTGAATACCTTCCAACGCTCTTGTAAATTGTAATCATATGAATGACTGCATGTATCACACTCCCGCGTTGTCGAAGGCCATGAAGCCGAGTACGCCCCGCTACGTGACATCATTCGGCAACAGTTCACGCCTGCTGTCCTGGGTAGAGAGGTCCTTGAGCGAGAACATCAGCTACTCGCCCTCCCTGCCAAGTTCGGTGGCCTCGCCATCACCGATCCTACCGAAACAGCACCGGGTGCCCATGCAGTGTCGAAAGATGCTACTCGGACTTTGACGCGCTCCATCTGCTCCGGTCAGCCAGTGGTCATCAATGACCATTCTCGTCATTGCCAACTAGCGACGAGCCAGGCAAGCCGGATAAGGGACGTGCAAGCAGGGGCACTCAGCAAGGATCTTCTTCAAGACCTCCCCAAAACGGAACGGCGCACTCTCTCCCGCATCGTCGACGGACATGCTTCCGGCTGGCTGACCGTCCTACCGCTCCGTCAGGAAGGCTACGACATGTCCGCAACCCAGTTTCGGGATCAGCTGGCAATCCGCTACGGCAGGCAGCCCAACTCTCTTCCATCTCACTGTGACGGATGTGGCGCCCCATTCACCTTGCAGCACGGCCTTGACTGCCATAAGGGCGGCCTTGTCAAGAGAGGCCACAACGACCTCCGTGACAGTGATGCCAAGCTTGCCGACATTGCCTTCGGCGGCGTCACCATCGAGCCGATCCTCATCCCGGAACAGGACAGGAATGGTCGGCCTATGCTCCAAGCGGACTGGCTCGCTCGCGGAGTATGGGAAGGCAACCGGGTGGCGTTTTTCGATATCCGCATCGTAGATGCTGACGCACCCAGTTATGCCAAGGCCAACCTGTCCTGGAATGCCACCGCCAACAAAGCAGCTGCAGCGAAGAAGAGGAAGTACAAGCATGCCGCTGAAGAGCTACGAGGCTCTTTCACTCCTCTGGTGTGTTCCACTGATGCTGTCCTCCACCGCGAGTACAGTGCGTACCAGAAGCGTCTCGCCAGCCGCTTAGCAGCGAAATGGGAGAAGCCCTTCTCTGCCATGATGGCTTGGGTACGCGTGCGCACTCAGTTCGCCATTTTCAGCGCCGTGGACATGCGTCTGCGAGGCTCCCGTCGGCGTCTTATGGGACTCTCCGTACATGACGGTGCCGGCGTTGGAATCGGCCACTGAGTCATGTTCTCGTTCTGTTTTTCTAACTTATTATACCTTTTCACTGATGGTCCTTTATCACTGTCTTTTTCTCACTGAAGCTTATTCATTGTTGTTTTTTTGTTTGTTTTTTTTACCAGGCGTGGGCCATCCCCTGATTTCATAGGTGCCAAACATTTTTACGTTTTTCAAAAAATAAATCAATAAAAGATATAAGAGTTATGTATCACACTAATTCATCTCTAATATGTACATGTTCCCGTCCACGATTGAGTATTGGGGGAGTGGCCGTTTTCAATTTCGGTTGTTATTGTTATCATGTCACATTGTGGGCCTGTGCTTCTCTGGCCCTTCTTAGAAAATCTGGATCCGTCACCCAGCTTTTGCCTTGGCAGTCTTGCTTCCTTCCCGGGAATGCATAGTGATTCCATACTTGCCAACCCTACCGGAATTTCCGGGAAAATCCCAGAAAACTCGCTTTCGTCCCGGTATACCGGAAAAGTTATAACATTTACCGGATTTTCGAAAATGTCCGTCAGCACCTTTTTTTGTTGATTTTCAATGTTTGGGACGCTCGCTCGCAGTGCTGGGCCCACAACGAAGGTCTACAGCGAGCTAGAACTTTTGAGTTAGCGCATGACAAAGTACGTTTTTGTCGTACATGCTGTACTATTTGCGAATGTTTTGTGGTCATGGTGACGTCACTATGATGTCATATACAATATTTTGCACAATTATGATGTAAAAATTGCAGATCAAGGAAATATGGGCAAAATCAAGGAAAAACGTCATCAGTGTCAAGGAAACTGTTTGCCAGGGCTAGGGGTTGGCAAGTATGTGATTCCATTCATGAATTCACCAAATGATCACATTTTTGTTTAGTCGATGTGGCTAGCTAGATATCCCGGGCATGGATATGGCAGGATAGTCACGATTCAACGACTACGTGACTGGCATGATTCACTGACTAGTCAATGCTAAATTTCAGGGTCGAGCAAACCTCAAACCACCAGCCTGTCAGTACTGGCGTCGAGATAGGGTTGCTGACCGGGTGTACGTACCATTCGGTCCATTGGCATTGTGCTTGCCTTGTGACAGCTTCACTTGTTGAAGTTGTTGTTGGCCATCACAGTACGAGTACAGTCTACAGACTGATGAGCTGACGAACACTGGACAATGCAGCTTTCAAAAAAATGATGAGCTGATCTACTATTCCAGCTCAGCAAAACAAAGTTCGAGGAAATAGCGATCTGTGCTAAGTCACCGAGAAAAAACAATGAGATTGCAGATCCATGAGAGATATCCAGAGCAGTAGCCACTACTGCTACATGTACCAGGTCTACTGTTGAACCACTTGAAAATCAAAAAGAAAAAAGTGAAACGGCGTGACCCCTGTCGACTGTGTCTGTGACGTAGATCTACGTGTGGTACATGTACTCGTAGATCTTGATTCTTGGCTTGGTGATCCTGACTCGATAGTTTGACCAGGCAGGCGCAGGCCCAGTACAGCAGCAGGGTCTATGCAGGGCTGGGAAGGGGGTGCCCCAGAATCATGAGAGCAGAAGGGTCTCGCGCTCGCATGCACACACAAACCACACACATGCAACAGGCATGCAGTAGTAGCCGAAGTTTTCTTTGAGTTCGACTCATTCTGAATCTCGGTGCAATCGTTTCAAGTTTGCTCCTCATTGCTAGTTACAATGTCAGTCCTCCGTCGTTCCTTACACTTACCACGCAAACTCAGCGGGGCTCTATGTGTGAGCAGGTTGGTTACTCCATGCCGCTTTGCTAAATTCCCCCACATGTTGTGCTGCGCAACAACCCATTGATTCTCAAGCATTTCTTTGCCCTTGATTTCCTATTCGCTCTATACCCCTGTATCGTTTGTGTCCATTTCGGACGTACGTTGCCAGATGCTCCTCAGGATATCCTGATATTCCTCCAGTTCAGAATGAGCCTATCCTGGATTTCCCTCCAAACTCTCCCGAGAGGGAGGCTGTATTCAAGGTACTGCTCCCGACTTTGTCGTGTTATTATTATTTTCTTGAGTGTTCTCGCGTTTTGTTCATTGGCTTTACATGTATTTGTATTCCTGGTCTTGCATCAACGCGAAGGAAGGAGTTAGGTAGGCGCGTGGAGGGACTTTGAAACAAAATTCTTTTCTTCGATACATTCATATCATGCTCTGAAAATAAATGCGCCATATCTACTGCGTACGAGTACACATAGCGTACACCTGACAGATGGCATACACATGGCGGCTTGGGGGTGTGTCGTGGGTATGTCAGTGCAAGGAAGAATGTTGGTTATTTGAGAATTCAGTCCCCGTCTAAACGTTTTGTTCATCTTCTTGTTTTTGCATCAACGCGAAGTTGCGTGCATGGAGTGATCAACACGATTCTTTCAAACGAAACATTTCCCAATGCTGGCTTTCATGCATGCTCAGAAAATATGCACCAAGTCCACCACTTTCCATGCATTTTTGAAGTCTGGATGTTATTATACTTTGGTGGTGATTCGTTTTGAACCTTATTTCTCGAAGCATCTAGAAAAACTTGAAATTCCCTGTACATGTGCTGTTGCAGGTCAGTGCAGTTTGGACTACAGGGTACAATGCAGTATAGGGGAAGTGTACCCTACATGCTCCTGACGTGTTATGCGCTGAGCATATAGAGGCAGGCAGACAGCAGAAAAACAATTTTTTTAACCCTTTACCATCCGACCAAAATTCCCCAGCAGTCCCAAATGCAATATTTTTCACCTTATTCTGAGAATATCCTCGGTTCTAATCAACCAATTTTCACAATCTTGGGCATTCTGTAAAGCTCTCCATGAGCTGCGTACATTGAGCTCAAACAGGACACTACCGAGATCACATATCCAGCGCCAGGGAGCTTCAAATACTTCCCATCGCTGAATATACGAGGAAATTCTCTCCTCGCCAGCCATTTCTCGCTCCTTCATCGTAAACATTCCAATTTTTTTTGATTGAGTTTCTTTTCATGCTGCCCACGCGCTCAAAGCGTGCCAAAGTGACTCAGCATGTCAGGAGATGGGAAATTCCCCGCTCAAGGTCAGTCACTCGGAAAGAAATTCGACTTTCGCCATGGCTGAAATGTCGAGCGTAATATCTTTGGAATGCGACAGCGCAGCTCTTCACTGATTGATGCAATGGAAAGCTGAGTTCTTCGGCTTCTTCCTAGATACTTAGTTTTGTAAATTCCGCCAAAAGACGATCGAGTTACGAATGTTTTAGTGTGTGCATGTCCATCAATCTCTAGAGATCGATTCAAGTACGCACGGATGGTAAAGGGTTAAACCCAAAAAAAACACAAGGCGAGACATAACTGATTTGTTTATGGTCGCCGCAGCTCATTGCTCCAGCATTCACATGGCTTCCCGGGGTACTAATAGTAATATGCAGGTTGCTCACGAACCCCTTGTTCTTTGCTGCTGGTCATGATCACAGTGCGAGCAAGCGCCCATCAAGCTTGCAATGCTTGTAAATGTGTGTGCATACATCCATCCTGTTTTAAAAGTTTGTTTGTCTGGTTGGTGAGAAATGGTGTGAAAGAAGAAGAGGAGGTTCTCCTTGACGGAAGCTTTTCCAAAGTAGAAGGTGGAGCAAAGAGCGAACGTTGAAGAGAACCAGTTGCATGTGATCTTAGTGCTAGTCATGCTTGTAGTTGTATTATTTCGGACATTTATAGTTTTCGTGTGCACGGATTGTCCGTTGTGTGCTCTTGGATGCAGGAGTACCAGAGATTAATGTCAGAGAAGCCGGTGGAAATTCCATGCATTGTCAATGGCGAGGAACGCAAGACCGGTGACATCAAGCACCAGCTGTCGGTGAGGTCTCACTCTCTCACTCGCTCACTCACTCACTCAGTCCCTCTCCTTGTGCTGTAGCACTGACGACTGATGTGCATTTACCGCTGGTGCATGTTGTTTCTCTGTTATTCTCAAGTTTCTGGGTTTTTTCTTCTCTTTCATGCTGTAGCCATATGACCAGGGGATCACCGTTGCCTCTTTCCATTATGCAGACAAGGTGAGTCAGTTCCTGGATATTGTATGCCTCTACAGAATATACCCACAGAGAGCATGTAATGCGTTAGTGTACACATAGCTGCACCTATCCTACCTATTGCGAAATTGGTGTGTGTGTGTGTGTGTGTGTGTGTGTGTGTGTGTGCGTGTGTGTGTGTGTGTGTGTGTGTGTGTGTGTGTGTGTGTGTGTGTGTGTGTGGTGTCTGCTTGTGCTTGTACATCGGCTGCAGCAAACCCTGGAGGATGCCATCAAGAGTTCTCTTGAAGCTCGGCACAAATGGGACCTTGTACCGTTTGAACAAAAGTAGGGTTTATGAACGCTATAATTATCACTTTGGCATGGTGCTTGAAGTTTTCTTGCTGGTGTTCTGTGGATGCTGCATGCATGTTCCATTGTTAGTTCAGCACTTTATAAGCTAGTACCCATGATAGGCCAGCAGGATTGAAGCAACCAACTTGTCCTATTCATGCACACCACAACAGTACTATGGAATTTGTTAACCCAACACTGTCCCTAATCCAGTAGACTGTCAGTCACACACACACACGCACACATACACACACACACACATACACATACACCCACACACACATACACACACCTCAGACCTCAGACCTGCCCATCGCGGAAGCGATGATAGCGAACAGCTATGTTAGACATAGCAACTTGTGCTGGGATTACACCATTCAACAGCTTGCAAGGCTGATGAATTGACCGCCACTATTTTTGCCTGGTATCCACCACACAGCTGATTGAAGTGACTTTTTCTGGCCAGTGAATCCCTATTTTCATTTTTCCATTTTTTTCTACACACACACCACACCACATACTCCGGCATACACAGCCATACACACACACCCACACACACACACACACGCGCGCGCGCGCACACACACAAAGTGCTGGGCGATACCGGCCACTGGGTGTAGATGTTCTGCCCAGAGTAGCTAGTGAGACTAAATGTCATACATGTAGTGAGTGCCAGGGTATATTCTAGGACGAATTTCCAACCGGTTACGGTACAATGAAGAGTCGGGGGGGGGGGGGGGGGTCCGGGGTTCCCCCTCCGGAAATATTTTTCAAAATACAACCCAAATATGGCACTCGACAGCAATTTAACAGATTTCTTGGTGCTGGAGTGTCGCGCGGAGCTGTTGGACTGTAGCAACGCCGTTGCCGTTGCTACAGCTCGATGACGCGGTTCGACCGTACAAACTCGTGACCCTAGTACCAGCCCACGCGGCTTCGCTGGAAGTATCCATCCAGAAAAAAGCGTATGACCATTCACAGCTCCATTCACCCACAGAAAAGTACGGGCGGTTGGAACTGATTTGTAACTTTTCAACCAGTCGCCAACTATTTCAACCGGTCGAAAACCGGTTGGGGCGGTTCTAGAAAATTCCCTGCTGTACATGTGTGTGAACTGTAAATGACAATGCGCCCGTAACCGATACTGATTGTAGTAGACAGTCTCCTTTTAAAATGGTCATTTTTGCTGTACGCCGCTGTGCTTGGCAGTTGACATGTTATGACTATCTTCCTACTCGTGTTTTCTTTGCCATAGTGTCATGACGATGTTTAGCTGTTATGTACAAGTCCAGAAGTGGTCTTCTGAACGTGAGAATAGCATTGATTTTTTCGTCAATTTTTATCCTCCATGGTTGTGTGGTGCTTTTCCTGATTTCAGAGCAGCAATATTCTTGAAAGCAGCTGATCTGATCAGTAGCAGATATCGTGCTCAAGTGCTTGCAAGCACCATGGTTGGACAGGTGAGTCATAGCTGCTGCTGGTAGCGTGCGACACTTTTGTGTGTGTGTGTGTGTGTGTGTGTGTGTGTGTGTGTGTGTGTGTGTGTTCGTGTGTGGGGGGGAGGGGGGGGGGGGGGGTGATAGAGTTATCCGGAACAAGCGGCCCCCCGCTGCAGTTGCTGCTGGCTGGATGCCTTTGGGTGCGCATCTTGTACAGTGTGCTGATGTGGACACATCTCGCTGTGTATGTACAGTCAAATCTGCCGTTAGCGACCTCTGCTGTAGGCGACTATCTACCGTTAGTGACCGATTTTCCGTGCACCGACGGTTTCACACACAAATTGATCTGTCGAGAGCGACCATCTGCTGTGCGCAACCAGCGACCGCGATTTCATGCACGGTGGCTGCATTCAAATCTGCTGGAAGCGACCGCGACCCACGTTCAGTCAGGTGCGAAACTGTACTTGCCAGTGCGCTGTCAACTGCAAGGTGTGAAAATGCGCTGTCTTGCAAGTGCGATCGACTGGCCCTCGCACCCTATTCTATTGAATATCCAATAAAATGATATGAAGTTGGTTGCTCCAACGAGGAGCACACGCTTCTTGCCGAACTTGACACTTGACTGACTCACGACTGCCATCCGGAGCACACGAGGAGCACGTCACACCTTCCGCTCGGCAAACCTGGAAGAAAGCACCACTCGTTGGAGCAACTAACTTCATGACTATTACCGCCAAGTCGCAACTTCTAAGTTAATGATAATTATTAAAAATGACATTATTCTCGTCGATTTGAGTACATGGAAGCATATACATGTATGCATGCCCGGTATGCCGGATTTACCATACATCTGCCGTAAGAGACCATCTGCCGTAAGAGACCGCTTTTTCTTGCACCCAGGGGCGGTCGCTTACGACAGATTTGACTGTACTGGCTGTTCCTGTTCAATGTGCTATTGAGCATGGGCCAGTCTGTTCTTTACGCAACGGCATGTACTGAGTAGCCACCGCTCATCTGTAGCACTGAATGAGATCCGTTATTAAAATTAAATTTTTATTTTGTCGTTTGTTGTTTTCTTTGGTTGCTTGATGTAGGGAAAGAATCTGTTCCAGGCGGAAATTGACTCGACGTGTGAATTGATTGACTTCTATCGCTTTGCTGTTGAGTATGCTAAGGTAAGTTACTTGTGCTTTGGATGCTTGATGCCAGTGTGTCATTGAATGGTTGTATTGGTAGCTGTTAGCGCTATTGTTCACCTGATGATGCTAACCGGTAAGAAGTTGTTAAGTGTTCCTGTGTGACTGCATTGCTCCTGCCAGCTAGGATCTTGTGTTCTCTGCTATGATGAGTCGTCTGAGCTGGGCGTTTTTTAATGTGTGGGTGATTTCTGCAATGTATTGTCGTTTAGGAGCTGCACACAACCCAGCCAAAGCACCACGCTCCTGGCAACTGGAATAGACTGGTTTACCGTGGTTTGGAGGTGAGTCGACCCCTATATCGGTTTGCGTGTGGGTCTCACAAGGCTCTTGTTAGAGCTCAGTATCAATTGTTTCTTTTCGCTTCCTTCTGGTATCATAGGTTCCAGCTTGTACTTTGGAGTGTCTCATTGTTGTTCGGTGTGTACCAGTGCACCTTTTCACCGGCGTGCATGTGATTAGCTGTCCACACATGTCATATGTCTGTGTGTTGGCGTCTGTCCATGCATGCACAGGGATTTGTTGCGGCAATTTGCCCGTTCAACTTCACAGCCATTGGCGGCAACCTGGCAGGAACACCCGCACTGATGGTAAGTCATGTTCAAGTCATTGCGAGCTGTGCAACAGGTGCAACCTCGGCATATGCCTCTATGCCTAGCAGAGTTTACTATCGTTGCCTTCTGCCATGGGTGTCTAAAGAGGTGTGCGTGCATGCATGTGTGTGTGTGTGTGTGTGTGTGTGTGTGTGTGTGTGTGTGTGTGTGTGTGTGTGTGTGTGTATGTGTGTGTGTGTGTGTGTGTGTGTGTGTGTGTGTGTGTGCGTGTGTGCATGTATGACATGTTGATGCGTGGCTATGTATGTAGGGCAACACGGTACTGTGGAAACCATCTGACAACGCCGTCCTCTCCAATTACATTGTTTTCAACATTCTCCGTGAAGCTGGCCTTCCTGATGGTGAGCGATCTGTCCATGTTTTCAAGGACTTGTGCATGCTGTCAGCTCTTGGTGTTGTGGTGGTGGTGCATATTCAGATACATGTACTTCGAAAAACAAGTGGATGCTGGCAAGTGTGATCAACGTTGTGCCATCACATGGGCCCCTGTTAAGGTGGTGGGGTGTCAGGCTTTGTATGGCTGTAGTTTGTTGTTACTTGAAGTATGATTTTCACAGTCTGATAAAGATTGCCTAAGTTCTCTTTGCTGGCTTCTGCATTTGAATTTTGAAAGTATACTGTTGCGATTGAAAGGGTCTAATGTGGCTTCTGTGTGCTTGCAGGTGTGATCAACTTTGTGCCAGCCGATGGACCTCTGTTTGGAGACACAGTCACCGACTCACCTGACCTGGCTGCGATCAACTTCACTGGCAGCTCTAAGTGAGTCCGCCATCCTCTTTCTCTCCGTGTTGTGATGGGAGCTCTCTGTTTCTCTCTTTGTTGTGATGCGAGCATCTGCACACATTGAAGCAAGCCTGGGTGAACACCTTCTGAATGTGTTCGCTCTGCCATGACTGCAGGAATTGTCTCGGGGTGATACCAATTTGTGCTGTGTGTTTGGCGAGGCTATCTTTAGCTAAGACTGTTGGAGATAATTTATGTGCACAGCGTAGCATAACCTGCACACTGGGCTTGTAGTAGCCTGCACCGTGGGCCAGTAAGAGCTGCTACTACCAACTTCAAAATAAACGAAATCCACAATTTTGTGATTTTGGCAGAATCGTAGGGTTTGGGGAGATTTTCTTGCCCTACACTGGGAGAGCTTGCACCATCCAGCTGTGTGTATGTCACACGTTATAATTCCTTACCGAAATCTGGTCCCAGGCCCACACATCCAGATACTAGCATGCATTATGGTAACCAATTTGCTCTGCTAGTCACGCAAACTCGTTTGGTATAGCACAAGTTCACTCGGCTTCATTTTGGTTCAATAGCCATTGTCAGCGTTAATGTGTACATTTCGTTCTTGTTCCAGCCCCGATAGCACTTTTTCTTTGCGTTTATTTTGCTACAGAACATTCAAGCACCTCTGGAGGCAAGTCGGCGAGAAGATTGACAACTACAAGTAAGTTTGCTGTGCAAGTCTGAATCAATCCAAGGCAACCTATAGTGCGTTTCAAAAGTCCAGACCTCTGGTTTCAAAAAACCGTTAGGCCAGCATCTATACCACATAAAATCTGTGATCACTTTGTGCATAAAATTTTCGAAATTGGGCGTCTGTTATCCAATCGCTTAGAAATTTACATGAGAAAAATTGCGTGAGCTGCCTGAGCAATATTCCGAAGAAATTTCTCAAAAAGCTCAAACCAAATTTGAATTATTCGAAAAAGTCTAGAGGTCTATACTTTTGAAACGCACTATAATTGTAAGAACTCTGGAGCCGAATCATTTCTTTTGCAGAGTACTATCCAGGCGCGTACACAGGGGGGGTTTCCCGTTGCCCGGAAACCCCCCCAAATGTCCCAAACGAGCAACGTTTGTGGGCATTTTTTGGTAGGGCGCATGATCGATCTGGCAAGAATGCAAAACTTCAACAGATCGTAACTCAGTCAAATCTCGCTCTAATCCAACAATCCAAATATCCAGGTCGAATAGAAAACTCTCAGCTGTCGGTTGAAACAATTTGCGACTTGCTGCGAGCAATGTGTCTAGAGATAAATCATTCGTAAGTTGAGCCGCGATCTCGCAATTTCAAAAGCGCGCAGTGCGACTTGAGTACCGAGAATTTGAGACTTTTCGTCACGCTGACATGCTGAGAATTTGCAGGGGCTTCACTTGTGATATTTTCAAGAGTACACAACAAAAAATCGAAACTCTGCGATCAAGAAAAACGAAATCGCTGGAGCAGGACGCGTTTGGGCCTTTGGGGCATTTTTTCGCACAGTCGCTGCACTCTACCGCTATAGCCTATATAGGCTATAGCGCTGGATATGTACATGCCTGTACATGTATACAGTACTGTGTCCTGGCTATCATGGTCGACCTCTTTCTCTCCTGGGTACCTTTCCACTTCCAGGAAGCCCAAGATATTTAAGATTGAGTGAGCAGAACTGAAGTTATGATCCAAAGAACGCGAAAAATGCATGATTTTGAAAAATTCCTAGGGCTCTTTAGAAAGGGTTAAAACGAGTCATTGTTTGGAATTCGGTTGGAAACCCCCCTAGAGGTGACCCTGCGTACGCGCATAGTCTGCTTTATTTAACTTTTTTTTCCTTTTTTTCTTGTGTGCATGGTCGTGTGAAGTAAGGGGCCTGCTTGACTTGCCACATAAACCTGATTCCATTCATATACGGATGTGTTCGTCTCTTCATTTATAACACACTGGTGGAGATGACGTAGACTAATTGTTTGTGTGTATATGTGTGGGGCTTTTCGTAACTGCTCTAGGACATTCCCACGTCTGGTCGGAGGTAAGGGCTCTTGTCAAAGTGTCGCCATAATTTGCTACACGATGATTTGTACACTGGTCCATTATGGAGCTGGTTTCCTTGGTTATAGTAGAACCAAGAGTACACACCCCTCCCTGTATGCAACTGCAGAATGGGTGCCCATTGGCTTAGCTGG